GCCCAGGCTGCTCAAACTCACAGCGATCCTCCTGCCTCAGCCTCCCGAAGGCTGGGATTAAAGGCGTGTGCCACCACACCTGGCCATCAGAATGCTTTGTACAGTGCCAAGTGATGTCTAAAATGACTTTGGCTAAAGAATAAAACCTATTTGCTGAAAGTTAGTTGAAGTCAAAGAATGGATTAAAATGGCCCATGAGCCCCAAGTCCACTCGCAATAGTAATATTCAGCAGAATGTCACCAATCTACCACCACCCTAGGACAGGAGAGAGACTACAAACAATAAATGACAGATACATTTTGTTCTTTCTTTAAAATGTGCTAATAGCGACAATATTAATCTTTTATAAATGTAGGTGGATCAGAGGTCAATTTTATGACATTTCTGTTTCAGATACTCAAGAAATAGAAACAACCCAGCTGAAAAAAAACAAGGAACTCTTTTATTGAGACTAGAACATGCTATATAAATTTCTTCTATACAGACAACCACAACAACAACAAAAAAACAAAACAAAAAACAAGGAACTTCATACTTGAGTGATGTAATAAGGGAAGCCCTGTATTTGACCAGATGTTATATATGCCATTGAAAGACATAGTATAGTTCTGCCTAATCTCTGTGAGCTGGTACATATAAAGGCCTTTTGAGCCATCTATTCACTCTTATTACAGCCTCCTTTCTGCAGTGTTTTTTCATCTTGAGTTTCCAACAAGAGCATCCTCTTAAAGGGAGCTTTTTTTTTGCAAGTAGCTGAATTTAATGACAGCTGTTTTCTTGATATTGTTTTGTATAGTAAGGAGCCTCTTGGGAGTTATCCAGAAACCAACTCAAGAAAAGACAATACTGAGGAACAAAATAAAAGGTAAGCCTAGCAAAGGCACTGATGCCTAATGGTTCCAATTGGGGCCTTATTATTGGTTAATGAATCATTGTCAAAACATTGCAGCAAGCATGAGCGTGCACCGTGTAGTCTATAGTGAGAAAATGACTCTTCATCCCAACAGTTATTAACTGGGAGTTGTTTGAAAACACATCCAGTAATTATAACAACACTGGAGCTAATTGAGAACTTTGAGTTGCTAGCAAATGACCTACAATAGCAGACTAGATCAACTCAGGGGGGATTCTTTTCTAATTACTTATTGGAAAGCATAGAAGATGAGTTGAATTTGGGTGATAGTCTTGCAAATATCAGGGCAAGTTTACCTAATTCTCTCCCAAGATGTGCTTCAAAACATATATAATAGTACCAGTATATTAGAACTATTTGAAGCCTAGAAAATTCTTAAAGAAAACTTGCCCTCCTAAGTATACCATTTTAAAGATTACTTTTACCTGAATAAATGTTGAATAATACATATTTCATTCAATCTCAAGTATTCATAGGATGACTATAGGGCTTCTCCTCCCTAATGCTGTTTTTATAAGCTTTATTTTCAATGGGTAAAAATGGAGAGACAAAAAGATATACAACTGTGCCTCACAAGTGCAAGATCCTAAGTTTGATCCCTAGTACCCCCCCAAAAAAAGAGGTACAAATCTTCCGTTTGCCTCTTTGTTTTACCAGTAAGTGAAGGATTGAAAATTGTAGCACACAGTGAAATTTTTGAGTTACTGTGGATTTGTTTAACCTTATAGAGCTCACTCTCCCTAGATTCTTATCTTACAGGTTGATTATTTTGCCAGGCTTAATATTTGTGTACTATAAAGATAAGACAAAGGTAAAATATCCATTCTAATAAAAATTTATTCTATTTTTAAAATATATACTGAAGTAGGGCCTCAGAGCAGCTGAAACATCTGATATTCAAAGCCGGGCGTGGTGGCACATACCTGTAATCCCAGCACTTGGGAGGCCGAGGCAGAAGGATCACTGTGAGTTCGAGACCGGCCTGAGCTACATAGAGAGTTCCTGATCAGTCTCACTGCATAGTAAGCCCTGTCTCAAAAAACAAAAAACAAAACAACAAAAAAAATCTGATATTCAGCATTATTCCCTTGCCCCACTGCCTCCAGACTAACCCCAGTATTTGTTTCTCTTCACCCTAGCTTCAATAAGCAAAATCACACATTGTTCTCAAATAGGACTGAGAAAGCATAAAATATCTCAATTTCCTAAGTAAATATCTCCTTTTGATGGTAGTTTCTATTCATCCATTCATCTCATTTCCTAATTTATTTATCAGTCTGAGAATATTCTAATTTTTCTTCTTGGTTACTTAATTTTGGCTCAATAAAATAACTGGAAAGTTGGAGCCTTTCCCAAATGTTATGAAAATATACATTGCAAAATGCAATAAGATGCAAAATAAATAGACTTTTCCACTCTCTCTATCCAGCAATACCAGGGCTCTTTGGAAAATATGAAGAGAGGAAAAGAGAATTTGGTGGACAGGGTTTATCTCCCTTGCTGCCTCTCCATTGCTTTTTCATTTCCCCCTTACAAACCTGGGTAATGTAAGTAATTAATTTTCAATAAGCTGGATAAATGGTCTTCTGCTATTAAATAGCTCTAACAGGTTGAGAGGATTACAATGATATGAGCATTCCAGGCAAATGTATTTAGTGAAGCCTTGGAAATTTCAGATAAGAGTTTACAAACACCCTTTCACTGAATTGGCAGCTCACAAACACCAGTCCTGATACTGGGGCTGCCAACCTGATTTTTTAGATGACACTTTATTGCTGAGGTCCCAACAATTGCAGTAGATGTTGAAATAGCAGATATACCTATGGTGCAAATCTGGCAGTAGAAGAAACAACTGTCAGAAATTTTGAACCCAGAAAGGACAATCAGCCACCCTTTGGTGAACTGTCCACACAGAGGAAAGTAGAGAATTCTCCAGATAAAACCAGTGGTGGCAATGTCTGTGCTAAATAAGTTGGGCCACATATGTACTCTTTCTTCAGTGCCAAATTCCTCTCCCAGTTTAATCTTATACTATGTTTTTGGCACTCAGACATCCATCAAAATTAGAATCATGAAGCCCAACTGGCCTCGCCTCATATCCTCGCTCTGTCACCTGGCAGTGAGGTCTTTTCCCATTTCCCCGGCTTCCACACAATGGTGACACTTTGAAGTAGTGCAGATGAG